GTATGTTGAATAGACTTGACTGTGAGTGACTGAATTTAGATGTACTGTGTGTATACAGTATTCATTACAGCGTGTCGTTCATTTGATTGGTTGAACTATGCAGTGATTAGGTGTCACGTGAGTCACGTGAGGTGCACCTACCACCACCATGTCCTACATTTGTATAGCTATCCATGAGATCAAGAGTACATAACCCCCCAGGGTGCGCAAGTTCACTTATCAGATTTGGGACGGCGAAATCCGTGTTCCACGTCATAACGAGAGAGCTTGGAAGCTCAGGGCCCTACGCTATGCTTTTTTGTCATGATGACCTAGACTATCGCGCGCCCTGCATGCATCCCCCGATACACTTCGCATACATACTAATTCTTCCAAGTTGTTTCACATTATGATCTTGCATTTGAAAGCCCTATTTGAATATGCATTGTGGCCAGCCGTCTTTGATGGCACGGTACAGTAGGGGATATGTACGGGACAGGTACGATACACTTCGCATACATACTAATTCTTCCAAGTTGTTTCACATTATGATCTTGCATTTGAAAGCCCTATTTGAATATGTATTGTGGCCAGCCGTCTTTGATGGCACGGTACAGTAGGGGATATGTACGGGACAGGTACGATCGAGGGTAATACGACACCGTCTCCCGTACCGTACCATCAAACACAGCTGGCATGGCCACATACAGCTGCCCGCAATATTCAAACGGGGCTTTTAAACGCAAGATAATAGCGTGAAGCAACTTGGAAGAATGGGTATGAATGCGAAGTGTATGGGGGATGCATGAAGGGCGATAGTGCGGGTTCGAATCCCAGAATATGCCTGAAAAAAATAGGACAATTGAAAAATTTATAACATCCTATGCTTTTTTGTCGTCAGATACGGATAGCGCCAGGCGTGACACAAACAAACAAACAAACAAACACACAAATACCAAATTAAAGCTGTGTGGACCCTGGCTAGCGCCAGACGTTACTGAAGTAACGTCTTCTGCATAGCTACGGGAATAATGACATCATAAGTAGAGGAAGTGTAGACGTGGTGCCACGCCGCGATGGAATGAGGCAAGTCTGACCCAAAAATGACGTACATCACGGATTACGCCGTCCCACAACCCCATTCCAGTTGCACACTGGGGGGGGGGGGGGGGGGGTATGTACTCTTGATGGGATGTTTGGCACCATCACACCCCTCATGTTGCCGTTCACATTGTGAATATTTACACATGTTGATCGTGAACATGTGTTCCACCTGATTCTGCACTGCACATGCTGTACTGTTTATTACAGTCAGACCTTGCTTATCCGGTCCTCTTTTATCTGGATCCCTCGACATCCGGATGAAAATCGTTGGTTACCGATTTACAGTATAATGTCATGCATACATACAGTGTGCGTGTTTATTTATCCGGTTTCCTCGCCTATCCGGATATTTTTGTGGAAAACGGATGTGTGCGGTTATGCGAGGTCTGACTGTAATACTGTGCAAGGCAGAAACTATGAGTCTGTGGGCACGTGAGTGGCTTGGATGGGCTTCATTGAAATGCGCTATGGGTTTGATAACAAGCTATTAATTAACCATTTCAGTGCCAAGGGGGTCAGAAAAATACAAATTTTTCTGAGTTGAGCTGTACTCCAATTTTTCATAGCTCAGCTGTATGTCCACAGATCTTTACAAACGATGGCTCTCTGGAAAGATATCAAGGTCAGGCAGACCATTTTGAAGAGAAAATGCAGCGAAAATAGTCTTCCTTGAGAGGGCGCCTGAGCGATGTCCGTTTCCTGCATTCTGGCGACGTCTATCCTCACGGACACAAACCGATGTGATAAGTGGATAGCCAAGGTCTTTCTGGAGACGTTGAGTGCTCGTTTGTTACTCTCCTGTGTGTAGAAGTGGAGATACGAAAATATTTGTACACACATTCTCATTCTGGGCGACTAAAGTCGCCCGTGGCACTGAGAGGGTTAACAGGGAGAGAAATTTGAAGAGAGTAGTTCGGTTACCACACCCATTCCCACAGCACTGCAAACCGAACCGATTCCTTTTACGCACAACGTTTCGTCACAATTGCCATCGTCTGGTACGAAAAATTGTTGGTTTCAAGACGGCGAAACAGAGACTCGCAATGAAGGTCCAGTGCCCATCGCATGTTTTGCGCATGCATTGTATGGACGAATAACTCCCCCATGGAACAGAGCAGATGTGAGAGTTGCGCACTCTTGGTTATGTACACTTGATGAGATGTCTATCACTATTACACTCTCGTGTAGGTGTTTTTGGTGTCACTAGTGACACATGTTGACCGTGAACATGTTTTTCACCAGATACTGCATTACACACACTGGTGTTTATAGGCCATTCACACGACGTCCAAACTCACTTTTATCGTACCGTTTCCAAGGATATTTACTCGGATACAATAAACTTGCATTGCTTGAACAACGGAAAATTTTAAATTTAACATTTCCCGGTATTTTCAAGAGGTCACTAGGGATACATTGACGGTTGTAAAGTTTGCCCAGCACCGTGTGAACTGGATCACGGTTTGCCAGTGTTATCTTGGTTACACACGTGGAAGTGTTTACACGTCGTGTGAATGGCCTATTAATACCCCTGGTTGTGTTTTCTCATGTACAATGGTTGCACTTGTGGTTATCACTAGTATTCCTTGAGTTCACCTTATAGGGGATTCACACGCACACTGGTAAAACCACGGTTATGGGAAAGTTGTTATGGACACTATGGTACTGGGGAAAGGAAGAACCTTTCGGGAAAAAATTGGCAAAGCCGTGGCCGTGGGCCTCAGGGCATTTGTTAAGGGAAAAATCCCATGGCTATACGATGCGCGTGTGTAGATCTTGTCTTTGGCGAGAACTCTGAACCCGTAGTTGTACGGGTGCATCGCAACCTGGATTTTCAGACAGTGCCCATCGGAAAATCGTGTACAGAACGTACTACAAAAATGCAGTTACAGATAAATTTTTAATTGCCCCACCACTAATCCATTGCCAAACATACGGTCAAGGGAAAACTGACCACGGGTGTGAACGGCCCCACTCCGTTGACCAAAGGTCTGAACTTTTACCTTCTCCCGTGACCTCAGGTTTCCCCGTGATTGTGAATCCCCTATTATAGGATCAAACGGACACATTGTCCTTTGTGACTTCACTCCCTCGAACCCAGACCCTGATTCTGTGGAAAAAGAAGTTTCAATACTTCAGATGGGAGAATCCGACTTCGCATTGTTTTTCGGCGTGGTTACGTCAAATTCTAGAATATTTCAGCAAGTGTATTGCTTTGTCGGAGAGAGGAGATGTTCATGCGTTTGAGACCCAAAGTCCCGTTTCCATACGACAAGCGCTTTTTTGAGGTGATGAGTTTTGGCTTGTTCTGGTCGGGTCGCAGTGCCGCAGACTATGCCATCATCATCAGCGTCAAACAACTTCTGGCCATTTGACATTTCCAGGCGTTAAGACCCTTTCGTCTTCCTCCATGAGAAATCGTTTTGCGCCAGCATACCAAGTTATAAGCAATACCATATGCGCACGGTCCGCTCAGTTCGAGTGACGAGGCTTTGTACTTGTGCACTGTACACTAGGGGTCAAACGGGTGTACCGGGTACCCGGGTACCCGCCCGTTAATCTCAGGTACCGTTAGTAAAAGGGTACCCGTTTGTAAAAAAAAAGGTGATCCTATCGTATTCCAAGACTTAAAAAAATAGGAGTGCGGATACTCTTTTCCTTTTTCCTGTGCATTCTCGCTTTCGACTTTATCAGGCAGGAGCAGGCTGAAAGACAGACTTGACAGTTGTTCTCTCCACTCTAGTGCAAGTAAAAATCCTCGTACTGGAGGTTTTTGATTGTGATGTGAGAAAATGCAAGACTTGAAACTCGTTCGAGGTGGCAGCTGAGTAACTAGAAAGTTACGATGGTTCTCCGACATCGAACCTGCCACAGTACTTGATGAACTAGTGTCACCAGGCCGAGTGTCACAAACGGTGATGTCCGTAGGTGGTAGCTACATGTATGATACTCATGGTTGTAGTTTGTTCCTTCAATCGACGAGCTGAAAAGTAGTTCGAAATATTGCATTCAAGATTACGGATTTGTGAAGATTCATTTCACGAGTTCAACAAGCTAGCACTAGCAGCTAGCTGGCCAGCAGCACATCAGCTGTGTCAGGCACCCCAGCTAGCTATGGGCGCGAACAATCGGAACATCTTCTGAATGCAACGAGTACCAGTTCTCTGCGAACATAGCAAATAGGATTGCGCGAGATCACGGACGTTTTGCTAAACCACTCTGTCCTTGCATGGCTTGAATCACATCGATCTGCAGTTGATTTGCGTACATGTATCAAAATACATGTAGCTTGAAGGACCATGTACATGTACGATTGTAAGTTACTGCCTGTGAAGTAGTTATGTACATGGGCAAATGCACGGATGACATTCATTTGGAACCTTCATTGCCATAATAATATTATGATACACGAATCAATTGCGAATCATAATGTAGTATCAAAATACAACCTGAGAATATACAAATTAAAATCATGATTTATGTGAGAAATGCGCAAAAAAATAATATGGCTGCTAAAGGGTACCCGTTAACCCGCCCGTTAAGAAAATTACCCGTTCGTTAGTTAAAGGTACACCCGTTTGACCCCTACTGTACACCATACTGTACTGTGCAGTCGTCTGGAAATTTTCTCGCTTCTCCCATTTCACCCATTCATTTGTGTTTCTAGCGATAGTCCGAAATTGTTGCACTTCAAATCACTATCCCTAGGTAATAGGTAATGGTTTGGCGAAATTGAATACTACTTGCAGATTTCTTATATTCTGTACTCTAGAGAATTGATTAACCCTTTCACTGCCAGCTGAACCCTCAAGGTGACAAGGCGCTCCCTGCCAGGCTGTCAGCTGAGCTGTACACCCCCTCCATGCCAGGCACTTTTTACCTCCAGCCCAAAAAATCGAAAGGCCAACTTTTCCTGG